ACCTCTGCAGAGAGGCTAGAAATATCTTTCCGGGCTTTTGCAATAAACATGTCTTTGATGTATACTGCACTGCCACCATGCTCCTGTGAACTGCTTCTGCAATATGAAGAGATCAGTTTAAAATTCCGCACTTTATAGTCCCGCAGTTGTTCTTCTGTTTTCCAGTGCTCAGTTAAACAAAGAGCAAAGCATTCATCATGATCTTCTAGGATAAAATTAATGGCATCAATACTTGTTTTAATTGATTGCGTATTTAAGTGGATTACTGATAATTTCTTTTAGTGTGTGCCATAGACTGTCTTTTGACACTGGGGTGCCTCTGTACATTCTGAAAATGGTTAAAAATTACACCATTTGGCCATAATTCTTGTTGCATTAAATGAGGTATTTTTAGTTCTGGAACAGTAATTTTAAATGAACTTTTGTACTTATCTGTCCTGGTTTTCATTTTTTCGCAGATAACATTTTCATCCAGTTTTCTTTCTTTTAGATAGTTAAGTATTTCATGAGCTTCCATTTTTGAATTGAAATCTGACAGGAAAATCGCCATATGTTTTGTGGATACACTCAGGATACTTCCAGCATTCTCATTGGTTCCCTGGAGTCGATCTAGTCATTCAATAAGTGTTGGACCAGGTGTTTTGTAAAAACCTTTTTTTTTGGGTTTCCCATTTATTATTTTCATCTTCAATCAGCGCACGGTTGGTATCTTTAACAGCTTTAATCCATTTTTGAATTGAAATCTGACAGGAAAATCGCCATATGTTTTGTGGATACACTCAGGATACTTCCAGCATTCTCATTGGTTCCCTGGAGTCGATCTAGTCATTCAATAAGTGTTGGACCAGGTGTTTTGTAAAAACCTTTTTTTTTGGGTTTCCCATTTATTATTTTCATCTTCAATCAGCGCACGGTTGGTATCTTTAACAGGCGTCACGGGTGCAATTGAACTGCTTGATATTCTTGGTTTAGGTGGCAGCTAAGACAAATCAACAGAACAAAGTGGCTGTTCTGTGACTGCGTCAACTGACCTTGTAGTCTCTTTCAAATCATTTTGTTCTTTTTACTACTTCAAGCTGTCTTATTTTTCCAAGATCAGGAAAGTCCTAAAAAAAGTAATGAATTGATATAAATTCCAAAATCATTATTTACCTAAACTCTTTATACAATAAATTCTTTGATTTCATATGAACCTTTCTGTTGGAGAAATAGATGACCTATTTTAGTATTAAGCTCTAATCCATTCCCCTCACAAGTCAACTGGCCTATTCAGGTCAGACTCAAGCAATAAACAATATTCTGTATTAGTCATATTTAAGTAAAATTTAAGATCATCTGCAAAACACAGAAACTTACAGTTGGTGCCAGTTACAAAGAACCAGAGCAAAAAATTATTTTCGTGCCGATTTAATCTGATCACCTAGTTTACATATTTATCCATGTTGTCGTAGTGAAGCGGTAACTATTTGGTGCCGTTAATTATATAAAAAGCATAATCACGCCATTGTCTACCTCTTTGGGTACAGTCGGCACACTATTTACAGTTTACAGTACTAGAGTGAAAACTATGACAAATATTAACAAAATACTAAATAGTAGAGGCCCTAGGTGGGAACCTTGAAGCATTCGAGATATGACTTTTTTTCATGAGATTAAAAACTGTTCCCATTGACAATAAAGGATCTGTTTGAAATATAGCTGGTAAACTAGCTTAAAAACAAACCAATAATTTCAAAAAAGTCCCAATTTCTTTATGAGGCAATCGTGATAAGAAATTTACATAAGTCAGATTCAACTCAGTTGACTTATCTTTTTGACAACCATGTTTATCAAGTATGGTGACAAGTTTACATAAGGCTATAATTACATATATCAAATTTATAAATTTGTGTCAAGTATCTGATCTTCCAAAAGTCAGAAAAAACACCTGATCAAGTAAAGTTCTTGAAACATTCTGACTTAGGTCTAGTGTTAAGGTTTTCAGATGATGTAAGCACCCAGTTAATTTAGAAAGTTTTCAATTGAACCAAATACTTGGATATTTTATAAGCCATGTAAGACCTGCATTGTCCTGATGCAAGAGAATGAGATGATTCCGGTTATATTCTGGAGTTCATCAGTTTTAAAAAAAAAAATAAATGGTTGTACACCATTCAGCATTGGTTCTACCATTCTCTAACGAAATTGTGCCTCTTTTTTCCAAAAACCTCGCGACCATTTGTTTGCTAGATGACTTGTGTTAAAACTCTTACTGGATGTCTCTTACCATAGGTTATTCCACGAATATATGACTGTTTTGGATTATTGCGACAACGAATATTTTACTGTGCAAGTAGAAGTATGAAAGTAAATTGGTCTAATAATTTTATCTATTGTTAGTATGACATCTAAACTATAAAATTATTTCAGTTAATAGATGTTCAGATAGACGCAAAATTTATTGTGAAATCTATTCCGAAAATAACAAAAATTTTTACGCAAACGCTTCTACAAATAAATACAATGACGTCTATGAAGCTAAATGTGTTTATCAGACATTTGGGTTGGGCTTCGGTGAAATGTAAACACCAAAGAGTTTCTTTGATATTACACTATTTTATTACTTTATTCGGTACTACACCTGTAATAAAAAGGAATATACTATATTTTATATAAATAAAAAAAATCCTAGAAAAATAATCTAATATTTCACTTTGTTAGTTTTAAATATTTGTTTGCTTTGAGTAGATGTACTATTAAAAGTTCCGAAAGTAACGGGTATAACATACCGGCTATTGATAGTTAAAGAACCGAGTCGTTACACAGTGATTATGGCTGTGAACCTGATGGTTGATGATAGTTTTAGGAGATTAGGAAAATAAGAAAATAAATAAGTTTTTTTGTTTTTTAATACTAATTGAATATTCGACTAAATAAATTACACTATTTGATCACTTAAGTATTGTTACACTTCGTTTAAATCACTTAATTCAAAAACCAACTTGTTTACAATACTAAACTGAATGATAGTAATTATATACTTCAAAATCTGAATTACAACTGTTCTATAAACTATCAACTCTCTATTTATATCATGACTTCATATTTAAATCTAAAGTTTATATCAGTCATAACAGTATTTTAAAAATGGGGAGAATTTACTATTGTACAATTCAGCACATTGGACCATTTAAATTGATACCTTAAACCGAATTTAAAATAGTCATATATTCGTGGAATGGAGTATAGTAAGTTATATGTATAATGTGTATAAGTTCTAGCTACCTATACTTTTTCTAGCTATAGATTAAGTAGTAAGAGCTATGCTACCTTCATTCAATTCAACTTTATTAAGACTTCTGTGAACAGGATATCAGTGATGAACAATTTGGCTTCCGAAATGGATTTGGGACACGCGAAGCATTAACCAGTTTTATTATACTGCTGCAAAAATGTCGAGACCAAAAAAAGGATCTCTTTTTATGTTTTATTGACTATCAAAAGGCCTTCGACAAAGTAAAACATGATAAGCTGATGGATTGCCTTCACAAAAAGGGACTAGACGAGAACGATTTTAAAATTATCCAAACGCTGTATTTTAACCAAACTGCAGCAGTTAGAACAGAAGCCGGTGACACAGAAATATTCAATATCAAGCGAGGTGTACGACAGGGGTGTGTATTGTCACCACTACTTTTCAATATATATTCGGAAGAAATCTTTGCACGAGCACTAGAGCAATCAAGAGAAGGTGTTAAAATTAACGGCAGAGTTCTAAATAATGTACGATACGCCGACGACACGGTCCTAATTGCAGAGAGCGCACAGGATCTCCAGACACTCTTAGATCGCGTCAGATCGATCGGAGAACAATACGGCCTCAGCATTAACGTCAAGAAAACAAAAACAATGATTGTCTCCAAAACATCCATCCATCCACCCATGGCTTTAAACGTGAATGGTAACATTATCGAAAATGTCGAGAAATTTCGATATCTAGGGTGCTGGATAACGAAAGATATAGATCCAGACATAGAAATAAAATCGCGAATTGAACAAGCAAGAAATGTCTTTTTAAAAATGAAACAAATGTTTACGTCCCAAACACTCAATCTCAAAATCCGATACCGAATGCTGAAATGTTACGTTTACAGCACCTTACTATATGGAATGGAGGCCTGGACCTTTAAAATCAACTCACTAAGGCGTTTGGAAAGTTTTGAAATGTGGTTATTTCGAAGGATGCTGAAAGTCCCCTGGACAGCGCATATGAGCAACGAGCAGGTCCTACACAAGATGGGTACCGACAGAGAACTCTTAAAAATAATGAAAACACGGAAAACCTCATATTTGGGACACATATACAGAAATGAGAAATACCAGCTACTGCAGCTTCTTATAGAGGGGAAGGTAGAAGGAAGACGTGGTCCTGGTAGACGGCAGGCGTCCTGGTTGAAGAACATTCGTGAGTGGACTGGTTTGGATTCTCAATCTTTAATAAGAAAAGCCAGGGACAGAAATGATTTTGCTGAGGTTATCGCCAACCTTCATTGAAGACGGCACCCAAAGAAGAAGAAGACTTCTGTCGATCTGTAATAAAATTGAGATCTGTAATACAAGATTTTTCTAAACTTTTAGGTACTTTTATTAAGATTACTCATAGTTATTGTGCATTCAGTTTTTACAGCTATATTTCTAGGTAGTTTTCACATCTGTCTATTGCTCTGCTTTAGTGATCTTTTCAATTTTTCCCTTTATTTTTCCTCATATTTGTCTCTTGCTTACAATTTTCTTCAATATAATGATATTTTGTATTCTCTACTAACAAAAAAGTATTTCCAGTGACTTATATTCTGTAAATACACTTCCAATAAGTTATTCAGTTTAAGAGAAATTATTTAACAGATTAACTCTCTTTTATTTTCAATATTTAATAAACTTTAGAAAATCATTGAAAACCATTACTATCATATTGAAATAATAAGTTCGATTTAATTCACAGTTACTTTTTTTTATTACAGACATCTAATCAAGCACTCGAAGCTAACGGAATTTATAGAAAAACCAAATTTCCAAGCATGGCCTGTAACAGAAGAAGATGTAGGTCCATCATGGATAAAAGTATTGATCTCATGTCTGCCAAAAAGGGAGTGCAAAGTGTTTCCCCTCCCAAAGGTTCGCTCATCAAAAGATGACGCCCCTTTTCTCTTTTCCCAATTAATGCAATACATAAGCCAAACCAATTACAATAATCTCTGGAAGAAAGCTCATAAGAAATACATGTCAACAGATTCACACAGAGAAACTAAGATCACCTTAACAGATTACAATTTAGTGCTGAGAGAAATAATTACTAGAATATATGGGTGTCCTATTATTAACTCGTATGATGAAAGCCTAAATGTTGGCCAGTCTGCTCAATTCGATGTGCATCTGAATATTTATCCAGCAGTGTGTGCTGTTGAAACCCCAAAAGCAATCTTCTTATTCCACCTACCTTACATGGAATACAATATTAGTGACTGTCTTACATTTTCACCTGCAATATTAGAAAAAAGCCATACAAAATCACTATTTATCATATATCAAATACTTAATGTTTTAAAATCTCTACACGAAAGAAGCTTAACTCTTGGAGAAATTACTTTGAAAGATATATTCATAAGTGAGGATATGTGGGTATATGTTTTTCCTCAGGTTACCTCAAATTTTTTTACTAGTGATTCTTCAACAATCAAGTCGAATTATGAATGTACCAATGCTCCTATCAGTAATGACTACCAGTATTTCAGTTCTCACTTGTATGATAAAGTTCAGTTAAAAAATGAAAGCCTGGGTGAACTGTGTCAATTGTGGATTAATGGATGGATTTCAAATTTTACTTACATATCAGCATTAAACAAACTTTCAGGTGAGTATATACGGAAGAAAATTAACTACATGTAATAACTTTTCTCCATTTGAACTTCTGATGATCTACTAGATAAGGTGAAAAGCTCAGGTTCATTTAGAAAATATTCACTAGAAATATTTTTGCATAATCACATTTGTGAGACACCCCATAATAAGTTTCAGAAGTCGCCCATGTGAAAAGTGGTCCCAATTTTATTTGAACAATTTTTGTAAAACAAATTGTAAAAGTCAACTTTTTCAGACAAATTCTTTTTATGTTTTGGATCCTTCTGAATAAAAATGGTCTTATTATATTAAATTATTAAATACACAATCTAAAACAAAAAAAAAATGACGATTTTCAAGAAAGAAAAACACAATTAAAAAATGTGTATTATCTTTGAAATCATGAAGTTTCTAAATTTAAGTTCAAACCTTCTATCAGCTCCCGAAAAAAAATTCTAGGCATTTTAAAACATTGTTTTTTTAGATGCTTATGATAGATTAAAAAAAACTATAGATAGGAGAATTCAAACTAGGAAAAATTTGAGCCATAAATCTTGTTTCGCTCTCATTTACACAGGCGTCAGCTCGAGCGTTCGTTTTGTCATAAGTGCAGTGCTTTATTAACAATTAAAAATCAATGCTTTAGAATAAAATAAGCCAAAAATACTTATAGATACTGATACTGATAGAAGAAGATTTGAACTTAAATTTAAGCAGCTGATACTTTCAAAAATAATATTTTTTACATGTCATTTGGAGCCATGAAAATCGGTATTTCATTTTTTTTTTCAGTTTTAAATTATTTATAACTCAAAAACGATCAAATTAAAAAAAAATTGCAACAGATCTTTTTCAGAAGGACCCAAAAAACAGAAAAAAATTGTCTGAGCTGAAAAAGTTGATTCTTACAATTTAAATAAAATTGAGACCACTTTTCGCGTAGGCGACTTCCAGAACCTTACTCGGTGTTTCACGAATGTGGTTATGCAAAAATATTTCATGGGAATATTTTTGCGAACGAACCCGACCTTTTCGCCGTATCTATTTAGTTGCAAAAGACATATGACTATTCAAATTGTTCCATAACGAATTAATCATACGACAACAAAAGAAATAAAAAGTTAATTAGGTCGATTAACACAAAAATACCTTACTAAAAATTTATATTGTAAACAAAATCATCATCATCATTAATTAGGCTATGTTTGTCCACTGCTGAACATAGGCCTCCCGTAAAATTTTCCACCTATTTCTGTCTTGAGCTTCTTGCATCCAGTTTGTGGTGATGCGCTTGATATTATCCGTCCATCTAGTCGGTGGTCGTCCTCTGCTTCGATATGCATCTTGTCTTGGTCGCCATTCCAGAATGTTTTTGGTCCATCTGTCATCCGTTAATCTGGCAACATGTCCAGCCCAAGCCCATTTAGCCCTGGCTATTTTTTCAACTGCATCTGTGACTCATGTTCTTCTTCTTATTTCTAGGTTTGGTACTTTATTTCTGATGGTAATACCTAATATTGGTCTTTCCATAGCGCGTTGTGTAACTCTTATTTTATCTATTGTTCTTTTTGTCAGTCAGTGTTTCTGCACCATATGTAAGAACCGGTAAAACTTACTGGTTAAAAACCTTTCTTTTTAAACAAACTGGGATACTAGACTTGAAAATGTTATTCAATCTACCAAAGGCAGTCCATGTGAGACCTATCCTTCTTTGTATTTCAGTTGTCTGATTATCTCGGCCTAGGCGAATCTCATGCCCTAGATATTTGTAAGCTATTACTTGGTCGATGCTATGGCTCTCAATCAGAATTTTACCGCTGACTACAAGGTTGGTCATAAATTTTGTTTTTGAGGTGTTAATTTTAAGACCAATTGTTTTTGACACTTTTATAAAGCGTGTGTGTAAACAAAATACAGAGTATTAAAGATATTTTTATCGAAAATTTGTAATAATTTTTAAACAATTAAATGTACTAAATTCAAAATTTGTGGAATACAGTTTTTGAGGACGACAAATAAGATTGAAATAACACTTATTGTTTACTCATTATATTACCAACATTTACTTGTAAAATAATAAAAAGTATTATTAAACAAAAAACATATCTCGATATTTTAGGCGCTCTCAAAATATTTTAATTTAAACGTTGCAATGCGTATCATATCCCCAAAAACGACAATTTTAAAGTTGGCTGTGACTATCTATTGTCGAAAAATAATATTGGACGATATACGCTTAGAATTATTAGTGGCTATTTCCTTGATAGGGATTGCATCATATTTTCAAATTTGTATGAAACATATTTTTTTACAACGTATGATGAAACATATATTTTAAATTTCACGATCCGCCACTAATACGAGAGATGCCAGGAACACCTATATACCAGGAAACAGAAAAATGGATCGACCACAAAACATGGATTAGATGAGTATATTAGACGGAGAGAACGAGAATGTATTAGAAGGATAAAATAAAATACGAAAAGAATTACAGGTGCTAGTAAAAGATAAAAATAGAGATAATTGATAGAGAAATTACACCAAGAATCCATTTATTCTGCTCAGGAGTGGCAGACTTGTCGGTATCTGCGTGAAAGAAGAAGATATTTGTTGAACCCTCAATAGAGAACAAATTATACTATCAAGATAATATTGGTAAATGTAGTAACTATTATAATATGATTATAGAGGGCCAAGAAACATCTTAGCAACAATTTGACATAAAAAATCCATAAAATCATCAGGATACTGCAAAAATGCAGGATCTTCTTAGTTCTTAGGAAACATCACACTCTGACACTTGGTCATAAGAACTTTGTACCAGACCTTTGCTTCTTTTATTTAACTACAATTCTTGTGGTCTCAACTAAGTCTAACAGATTCCTCATTGGTAATTTGTGGATCTCTTCTGGTTCAATCCTCAGTTGACCAGTGAATTCCTGCCTCAATGTCGATTGCTACTCTTTCCATAGAACTGCCAACATTGTACTGTTTCATAGGTGTCCTTTTTTTACCTACTTTACCATTACTGGTTGTACACAGTTCACATTTCCGGTACTATCTTCTTACATCATCTTCACAGTTCGCCTAATAGAACGGTTCTCGAACCCATTGCAGAGTCTTCGTAATACCAAAGTCCCACTGATGCACCGTCCTGCAACTGACGCAATACTTCAGACACTTACTTTTAGGTACAATCAACTGAAACTTAGATTCTGTACCATCATCGTTCTCAAAGGTTTTATACAGATCATCTCTTAGTACTAGGCAATTCCATTGGCTCCAGTAAGACTTGTCTTCTGGACTACATGCACTAATGTCTTACCAAGTAGGTCCCTCACTTCTATGCATCCAATCCAATACTCTTTTTATACATAGATCATCTGGTTGGGCGTCTTGTAGCTGTTGAGGCTACCATTGATCATTAATGAAGGTGGTTCGTCTCACGGGGCAAAGTCGGTCTCGACAGTGATTACAATTTGCACTACATGGATGTCTTTGCATCAGCATTTGAATGACTGAGCATCAGCATTTGAATGACTTTTTCAAGTCGTGTTCGATCTGTTCTAGCTTTCGGACTGTTGCATTATTTTCTTGCAATTTACGGCGAATGTGACCTACGTCGTCACCATTTAAACATCTGGGTTCGCGTCCTTCGGCATCGTGTTACGAACTACGACTAGCTGTTTCGTGTTCCAAGGCAATGGCGAGTGCTTCATCTAAAACTTTCGGTCTTGCTAGTCGTAAAGCTTCTGTAGTTCACTGTCTCTCAACCCATTACTACAGCAATTTCTTTCAATATGTTGTTTGGATTTATCCTTCTGAGAAATGTGACACACGCGTCGGAGATGTACTATTTCGTTACAATAGTATAGAATATGCCTGGAAAATTTAAGGTACTAGTACAGATTAGAAGCCTAAAAAATGGATTGATATATCTTAAAGAAAAAATTCCGTTGGAATTACTTAAAGAAAGCACAGACAATCAACCACTTTTAATCGAAAATTAAAATCAAAAAACAAAATGGCAGACATTCGAAGAAAAAGTTGAAAAAAATCGTTGTTTTTTACCAATTTTTCCATGTCAAAATAAATTTTTCGACTTTTTTTCTAAAAAGCGGTTAATTGTCTTGTAAAGGCATTTCTTTATCATTCCGTTGGTATTTTTTTGTTTTAGATCTGCCAATCCTGAAAATTAGTATCTTTTTAGTACATGAGAACTAAAAAAATAATTTTTTTTTGTTTAAAACAAAGATAAAATAATATTTAGAAATTATGTTCGATTCTAATATTTCATGTTCGTATATAATAAAGGTTCTGAGAATTTTTTTTAAATATGCATTTTTTAGCTTTCTAATCTGTACTAGCACCTTAAGCCAAATCGAGAGGGGTCGCCTGACCAACTTTCGTATTTGACGCGGAATTACCCTGTATTTGTTTACCAATGGGATCCCACTTTAGTAATGGTACTTTTTAAATTTTTGACCATAGCACTTTTAAAATATTTTTTCTTTTCCATTCATTCATTTAATAGGAAACATCTTACTGACACTTCACCAGCTGCACCACAGAACTGGCGAATTCTAGAGCATTATAAACTGGGAACGGAATGGGCATCCTGTCGTGACTGACAGTATTTTGTCCCAACTCGTGGGGATAAAATGGACACGTGACAAAAAAGAGATGGCCCAGAAAAGGACTTCAAATTGAGTGATTTTTCTGAATCCGTAAATAAAAATATCAGAGAGGCGACTATATGAACTCTGTATCTCTCCCAAGTAGTTTTCGACTACCCCAATAATTGTCTTATATCCGAACCTTGGTTGATGGAGAGTTTGTATACAAGATATGTTAAAGGAAGAGGTACAAGAAACCAATTGATATATACGTTAGATTTAGATACAGAAAGATATGATACTCTTCAAGAAATTTATGAGTTTGAAAAAAAGGTTTCTAACCTCGATTTTTTCCTAAATTTTCCATAAAATTTTCAGCATTTTTGGGAATATAGAAGCAAACTTCAGGAAACATTTCTATAAAAATCTAAGGACGGACTAACTACAAACAACTTTTTTGTACAGATCTCGAGTCAACTATAATAGTTTTTAGGTAAATGTTTGCCTGATATGAATTTAGTTCACTGGAATATGAACTTTTTGATTTCACTCTACTCACGTCAGTTGTAAAAGTACCATTTTTTGTTTTTAGTTATACATTTCTAAGAATTTTTTGTGTCCTATTACTGTTTTAAATTTTAAAGATGTGTATAATGGTCTCGGTTATTTCAATTATATTTATATGAGTTGTAATAAGTTTTATTATAATTTTAAATTGTAATTATACTAATAATTTTATATTTTAGGGAGAGTGATAGGAGATCCCAACTGTCACTATGTATTTCCGTGGGTAACTGATTTTTCATCAACTTGTGGCAAAAACTGGAGAGATCTCAAAAAGTCCAAATACAGGTTAAATAAAGGCGACCACCAGCTTGATCTTACTTATGACAATAGCCAATCTCAAATTCCTCATCATGTTTCTGACGTCCTTTCCCCTATTACTTACTATGTTTATATGGCGAGAACAACACCCAAATCTGTACTGTGTAAGAATGTTAGAACCATTTGGGTACCAGCAGAGTATCCAAGCTCTATCCAAAGAATACAGGAATGGACACCTGACGAGTGTATTCCTGAGTTTTATACTGATCCCAGTGTCTTTAGAAGTATTCATGATGACTTGGACGACTTAGCTGTACCGTCTTGGGCTTCTGATCCAGAAGAATTTATAGAAATCCATAGAAAGGCATTGGAAAGTCCTAATGTTTCTGAAAAATTGCACTACTGGATTGATCTAACATTTGGTTATAAGTACGTATTACTAACATACATATGCCATTCCCTAAAAACTTCTATAATGTTTATTTTAATAAGTTACAGGGGTGACAAAGAAGAGAAAATTTAGTGTGATTTTTAATTTCAAATATCTCATTCAAAAACACTTTTTCTTTATTCTAAGGGATTTTCGGCCCTCGGTAATATTGTAATCTTTCATTGTGCGTTTAAAATTTAAAAAAATATTTATTAGTTTTCTCAGGATTCGAAAAAATGAAATGCATTTAAAAAGCATTGGCCCGAAATTTTGCGCCTACGCTCTTAAAAAAATTTTTTAAATATGTATTTTTCAATATTGTACATACACTTATTTTTTAATTATTTAATCTCTTTATACAGGGTGTCCTTAAGTAATTGTACAAAAAGAAACAGTAGATTGTACACTTTAAAATATTACGATTTAAGCTAAATTGTTTTAATAAAATATTGATATTAAGGAAGAAACAGGATATTAAAGTACAAATTTAAAATTTTATTTTTCGCTATAACTGTCATGTTTGTAAATATTTATGTATATAAATTTACAACTGGGTACTTTTAAATATAAGAAATTATAAATTGATGCACACTTAGATGTAGCTGATAGAGGACGCCACATATGTATAGGATATAAAAGATACATTATTTTACAAAAAAAGGGTATACCTGTTAACTTCAAAACTCAACAATTTTCGAGATACTCGCATTTTACAAATTAGCTGCATAATTCTGATTTAAGGCAATTACTCCAGGCAACGAAAGAAATAGACAAAAACATTAATGCTTCTGAATTTTGGTATAAAATATCTTGTAACTAAAGTTAATAGTTAACGGGTTGAGTTTACCGAAAGTACAAGTTGAATATAGCCGCAAATGTCACAAATATTTCGGCTTGGCAGTCTTGGCATGTTTTTATAATGCATAATGTTGTATGCTTCAAATATAAAGAGATAAAGCTTTTAAAAGTACATTTTGATTATACTATTTTATGAATTCTGCAATTTTTAATTTATATGAAGTAATAACGAGTAGATATTTGTCTATTTCGAGATTAATTGCAAACATCTTTTGTGACTGGCAACTGCTGATTTGACGATTACCAAATCTATTCCCTAATCTATCAAAGGGTAATTGCTAAAAAAATTCTAATAATTAACTGCAGTTAATTTCCAAAGAAACAAATATTTACTCATCGTTGTTTTATATAAATCAAAAATTGCAGAATTCATGACATAATATAAACAAAATGTACTTTTCTAAAGTTTTATCTTTTTATATTTGAAGCATACAGCATCTACATTATAAAAACATGCCAACACTGCTAAATCAACATTTTTTGTTCCATTTTTGACATTTGCAGCTATAATCAGCTTGTACTTTCGATAAACTCAACCAGTTAACGAAGTATTAAATAAAATAAATATATCAGCAGGATTAATAATAGGATTTGACAAAATAACAGTATAATAGGATTTTACATGAAACATTTTATGTTTTATGTTAAATTGAAGTCATAATTAAAACATTTTGTCTACAAACCAAATTAAGAAATAGTTAAACTAAGTAACATAACTTTTTGTCAAAGTAAGTGTTCAATATGTCCACCATTTTTTTTTTAATTCATTTGTCAATATATTCCATAAAATATCGTTTCAGATTAAATAGCATCATTGGTTCTAAAGAAATTGCGAATGTTTATGGAATTCTTATAGACACGTTGTTTTAATGCGCCCCATACACCAAAATCAAACGGATTAAATTCTGGGGAAACTAGTGGTTATAATGTATATATTCTTTTGTATACATATCCAAATCTTATGGTTTATTATGGAATTACATATTATTTGTCGCAGAGGTTAAATAATGTATTAATCTGTGATGTATCTCGTTCATTGGTTACTTATATACACGCGGAATAACCTATCGGTGACATTACTTATTTCTATTATTATGTTACAGCTTATGAGTAACTATAATTACATCTCGAACAAATGGACTATTATGATTTACTAACGAACTAATATTATCTTCTTCTTCAGTGCCTTATCCGCTCCGGATGTTGGCGATCATCAAGGCTATCATGGTTTTGAACTTTGATGGTATACAAGGCAAATATCGAACACAGTTACTGTGTACGATATTTGCCTTGTGTACCATCAAAGTTCAATTATTCGAACATTCAACCTTATATTGATATCATGGTTTTGTTGACTGCTCTGCGAAACAGCTCCGCTGAGGTCATCCCAAACCATTGTCAGACTAATATTATGCTGAACTAAATTGCCTGTGTGTTTACTATACCGGGTGGTGAATCGTCAAACGGACCATAGGAAACTCAATGGTAAATTCTAAATTGTTGAATTCCTGCTTCCCTAATTATTTTACACCAAAAGTCATGGGAAACTATTTGTAGAGGACTCAAATATGTATCGAAAACAACTGTTAAAATTATTCTACGACTTAAACGTATTCCAAAATTTTGCTAAAATATAATACATTTTTCAGGCCACCCCTAAAAGTTAGGCCACACGTAATGCAAGAATATATATTATTACGTTTGTGTTTTATCATATTTATGTCAGATGTTTGACAATTTGAATTGTCAATTTTTTTATTTTATGATTAAATTATAAACAATGAGTTGTACTAAATACTACTACTAATGAACATTATTACTTTGTGAACAATAAATTATATTGTTTACAAATCGATCAATATAAATGTACTCAGTTGACGAAAAATCGCATAATGTTGTACTCAGGCAATAGCGCGAACCTTTTCCTGCCACTACCGGATCTTTATTTAACGTAAGATATTCTAATTCACTAAAATTTAATTCCATGTTAAGTTATACAACAATTCAATGAATTCCAATATACTGTTACTGTGATCTTTATTTCTAATAATAATATATGATAATTTATAAACATAAAACTATAACAAGTGTTATAATAAAATATGAATAAAAAATTTTTATTATTGTTTTTTTCTCCTCAACTGAGTACATTTTTTAATCAACTTAATTTTTTTTTAACAATAAATCACAAAATTTTGGCCATTTAAATCATAGATAAATGTAATATAATTGATTTAAATATTGTCAAATATCAGAAACAATAATATGACAAAACGCAACACGTAATACACATTTTTTCACAGAAAAATGTATTATATTTTAGCAAAATTTTGGAATACCTTTAAGTCGTAGAATAATTTTAACAGTTGTTTTCGATACATATTTGAGTCCTCTACAAATAGTTTCCCATGACTTTGGGTGTAAAATAATTAGGGAAGCAGGAATTCAGCAATTTAGAATTTCCCATTGAGTTTCCTATGGACCGTTTGACGATTCACCACCCTGTATTTATGAAAATATTGGTTATTAGGCCAACGATGATGTTTTTGTAAAAATTCTGAGTTTTTAAGGCTGGATTTGTAGCAAAAGTATTATGAAACAAGATACATATGTGTTATTCAGCACCTGTGCTCTAGTTTCTAATTATCCTAATAAAAATGGGTTAACATTGTACGTAATGAATAATAAGTAATCTTTTTGGATTTTTTTACGAACTTATATCAATATCTCACCACATTGCCAAGGAATATGATTACCACGACCAATCCAACGTTCAACGAAAAGTTGTATTTAAGTATGTTCTAACTGCCTTCTCTCTAGAATGTGGTGGTTTACCATCTTGCAGAAACCACATATTTTGGGTTTCAGAAGTTTACAATAGAGAAAAAGTAATACAACGATACAAATACTGTATTTACAAACGTAAATACACTGATTGAAAAGGGAAATTTAGGGTTTCTGAATACGGGCACGGTACCTAAATAAGAAGATGAAGAATCTTTTCTTCAATAAGACATTTAGCAGCCATAACAAATCATTTTATGATGTTACATTATCATCTTTGAGTTGTTTTTATAAGAATAAACTATGAATTATGTTTATAGCATTTTTCATATAAAAAAGCTTGCACCTCATTCAAGATTTACGTCGTGAGAACCCCTCAGCGTTGCCAAAATATCAGAATAGTTAGTAAGTGGGGAATTTTAAAATGTCAACTATTTGTCAAACTATTATATTACCAGTAAATACACTTAGTTTTAAGACTACTGCAACACATTAAAATACATAAGAAAACATTTTAATACAAAATTATATATTCTAAATTTTAAACTTACCTCTTTTAGTGCTTTAATAGTAAAAACGTCCCGCCATTATTTCTTGTTCAAAATAATCTATCTTATATGAAAGTTTATCAGCTTTCTACAGACTATTTATTTGTTTTGGCATATTACAATCACAATACACAACAATAATTAGGTTTTAAAGCTATTAATACAATACAATTTATTAATATATATTATATTATGATCAAATTGTGTAAGAAATCAAAACATAAACAAAATTCTGAGCGGCAACACTTTATACACTTTTACCACACGCTTAACTGTCAATAAAATTTGAAGTATTTCCGTCTCACTGGCGTACAATTGTCTAATATATTTAATTAAAATTATTATTTTGTGGAATATTAGACTTCAAGAGTTATTTCATAAAATTTATATTATTAATAATAACAAATGTTTTTGGTTATTTAATCAATGTAATTCTAAAATTTCCAATGTAATGACGATTACATTTTTCTGATTATTCACCAGGGTTTCGTATTATTAGCTGTGTTAGGAAAATTTGAACTCTAAAGTTGATGTTCTGAAAATTTTAAATATAAGTGACGTCACTTTGTATAAATCGTGACGTGCAAGTGTTTTACTCTGAAAAATGGTATATCTACAGGTATTCAGTGCTTTACCGCACAAATATCACAAGTAAGAATTATTATGCAACTGACTTATAAAATGCGATTATCTCGAAATCGGTTGAATTTTGAAGTTACTAACAAGTATACCTTTTCTGTGTAAAAAGAATGTATCTTCAATATTTTTTAACAAAAGTAGAGCTAATTTAAAGAGCATAAAATTTAAGC